ATATAAGGTTTTTCTCCAGTATGAAGTCTTTGATGTCCAGTAAGGTGTGACTTTTGGGAAAAAGCTTTTCCACAGTCAGTACATATATAAGGTTTCTCTCCTGTATGAATTCTTTGATGCCCTATGAGGTGGGACTGCTGGCAAAAGGTTTTTCCACATTCACTACACTTATAGGGTTTCTCTCCAGTATGTGTTCTCCGATGGATGATGAGTTGTGTTTTCCGAGGGAAGGTTTTCCCACATTCAGTACATTCATAGGGTCTCTCCCCAGTATGAGTTATCTGGTGTATAAAAAGGTGAGACTTCTCACAGAAGGCTTTCCCACATTCACTGCATTCAAAGGGCTTCTCTCTAGCGTGCACTCGCTGATGTATAATGAGATGTGACTTCTGAGAGAAGGCTTTTTGACACTCAAAACATTCATAGGGTTTCTCTCCAGTGTGGACTCTCTGATGAACGATGAAGGGTGACTTCTGGGAGAAGGCCCTCCCACACTCAGTACATTCATAAGGTTTCTCCCCAGTATGAATCCTCTGATGCACAATGAGGTGTGATTTCTCACTGAAGGCTTTTCCACAATCGCCACATACAAACGGTTTCTCTCCAGTATGAATTCTTTGATGTATAATAAGCCGTGACTTCTTAATAAAGCCTTTCCCACACTCGTTACAAACATTGGGTTTCTTACCAGCTTGATCTTTCTTATACTGAATATGGACTTGTTTATGATTGAGACCTTTTTCACATTGACTATGTCCACAGGGTTTCATGCCAGTGTAAATTTCCTCAGGCACAGAACAGGAATCATTATAGCTAGGTGGTGTCCCACATCCAAATCTCTCAATGAGGTTCCTCCTTGCATGGCTCCTGTTGCATGTCAGTGAGTCTAAATTAGATTTCAAGCTCTTTTCACATGAATCAAAATCACAGAGTTTTTTACTTGAAGGATCAAGGTCTATGCACACACCAAGTATTTTTCCAAATGTATTACATTTGGGGCCTTTCTCTTTGGCCAATGTTTCATGGCTAGTGACTGTGACCTGCTTCAAAACTCTGTCTTGGTTTCCTTGATACCTATCTATCTGACCATCAGTATGCCAGACTTTTAAGAGAGGATACAATGAATCATCCTCTGGGGTTTTTTCCAATATCTCCTTTTGAAATGAAAGCTCTTCAGAAATGATCTGCTGGGAAGAGTCAAGGCTTTTCTCTCTGTCTGAAAGAAGAAAATAAAGATAAAATCAAACAGGGGCGCCTGGGTGGCTCAGTCGTTAAGCGTCTGCCTTTGGCTCAGGTCATGATCCCAGTGTCCTGGGATCGAGCCCCACATTGGGCTCCCTGCTCAGTGGGAAGCCTGCTTCTCCCTCTCCCTCTGCCTGCCGCTCCCCCTGCTTGTGTTCTCTATCTCTCTGTGTGTCAAAGAAATAAATAAAATCTTTAAAAAAAAAAAAGATAAAATCAAATAGAAACCAAAAAGAAAACAGCAACAAACAGAAGTGCTAGGAAGGTGCTGATGTAGGATGGATGTTATAAAGAAGACCTAATGAATTTTAAGGAAGAAAGGAGGCCATTGATGTCAGAGAAGAAGAAAATGCCCTCTCAGCCATCTACCCAATTCTCACTTACCTGAGTGGATCCACCTTGACAACTCACTCTTTATGATCCATGGGTCCTCTTCATGTTCCAACTTGAAGATTATACCTGGTTTTATACCTGAACACCCTGTTAAGGGAAAATTATAATGGTCTTGGCCTTGGCCATTCAGAAATTCATGGGGAGAAGAAGCAGTCTCAGGGGCCTCCCAGGAAAGATGGGTCCTTAACTCACAAAAATAAATTCCAGATATAACAAAAATATGAATGTAAAACACAAACTATAAAAGAAAAGACCCTATTCATGGAAAATCATAAAGGTCATGGTCTTGACAGCTCTGAAAGATGAGGAGGATTCGATTCACTGTTACATGGAGAATGGGCCCTTACCCACAGACACCAGGTGGCTGTAGATCTCCAGCATCACATCTCTGTGTAGGGTCTTCTGAGCAGGGTCCAGGTGCTGCCACTCTTCCTGGGTGAAGTCCACAGCCACATCCTCATATGTCACTGGTTCCTATAACAGTACATTCCTGTACAATCTGCTCATTCTGATCATTTTTTACCACAGCAATATCTGTAGGATACCTACTTAGCATTTTGTGTAGCATACTTAATGAGAAAAACTTTGTAAAATTTCGCCATTAGCAAGAATAGTTAGTGAAAGAGAATAAACAGTCTAAAACTAGATATAAATAAAAATGGGAAATTTAATATATAATAAAGGAGTATTTTAAATAAGTGCAGGGGCACCTGGCTGGCTCAGTCGGTGGAGCACGTGACTCCTGATCTCGGGTTTGTGAATTTGAACCCCACGTGAGGTGTAGAGATTACTTAAAAATAAAATTTATAAATGAATAAATAAGTGCAGAAAAGACAGATTATTCAAAACTGGGTAGCTATCAGAAGAAATGTAAAGATGGATTCCTTATTTGACACTATACACAAAAATAAATTTGGGATATAACAAAAATTTAAACAAAGAAAAAGAGAAGCCATAAAATAAAGACAGGAGAGATTTTAAAAATAATTTTGATTTGGAGAAAACTCTTCTAACCAGGCATGCTACAAAACCCAGATGCCACAAAGGAAAACACTGATAAATTTGACTACTTTATGTATTGCATAACAAAATAGATCAGAAACAAACTCAAAGGACAAGCAACTAACTGGGGAGTAGATATGTGCACAACACGTAAATGGACACAGAGCCAATTTTCTCCTTTATAGAGTTCCTACAAGCATGAAGAAAAAGATCAACAACTTGACCTTTTAAAAAATAATCAGAGGACATGACCATCAATTCACAGAGAAGGAAATGCAAATGGCTTCTAAACACGTAAAATGATGTTCAACTTCATTCACATGAAGAGAAATGCAAATTAAGACAAAACAAAACATCATGTTTTTCTTACATATTATCAAAGATGAGAGTTTGATAAGTCACTAAGTTGGTAAAGATATCAAAAAAAGAGCAAACTCACATTGTGGGTATACCCTGGTACAAAATATTTTGAGAGCAATTAATTTGACAATATCCATCAAAATTTTAAATGTGCACATTATCTGACCAGCAATACCATTTCTAGAAATTATTCAATACATATATATGTGAGCAAAACAGCATGTGTGAAGGTATTTCACTACAGTACTGCTTATAACAGCAAAATAATGAAGACAACCTCATGGGGGATTGGATGAATTATGCTTCAATCCCCATAAGGGAATACCATATACAATCATAAAAAGCAACAAGGATTGATACGCAACAATCTCTATGATATACTGTTAAGTGAAAAAAATTTCATTTATTCAGCAAGCTGTTATTGAGACCCCACTGAATACCAGGGATTGTTCTAGGAACTGGGGATCCAGCAAAAAAGACACCTGAAAAAAATATCTTCCCTCAAGCATCTCATAATCTAGTGAGAGGAGACAGCCAACAAGGCTGAGTGATAAATCAACACATAGCCAAAAAAAAAAAAAGTTTGTAATGTGTACTTCAAAATTCATATCACTCATATACAAAAAGCTCCTAGAAAGCAATAAGCAGGGCACCTGGGTGGCTCAGATGGTTAAGCGTCTGCCTTCAGCTCAGGTTATGATCCCAGGGTCCTGGGATTCAGTCCCACATCAGGCTCTCTGCTCAGCTGGGAGTCTGCTTCTCCCTCTCACTCTCCCTCTGTGCTCTCTCTCTCAAATAAATAAATAAAATCTTAAATAAATAAATAAATAAAATAAAAGAGCCCATCAAAAAGGGGCTGTGTTCTACAAACATTAAAAGAATAATAAAAGGATGTTATGAACAATTTTATGACAAGAAATTTGAGAATGCAGATCGTAGGACAGCAGAGTATGGCACACAGGCCAAATCTGGCCCACGAGCTAAGAATGGTTTCTACGCTTTTAAATGGTTGAAGAAAAAAGTCAAAGGAGAATATTTTGTGGCATGTGAAAGTTATATGAAATTCAACTTTCAGTGTCCATAAATAAAATGTCATTGGATCACAGCCATGCTCATTGGTTTGCATATTGTCTACAGCTGCTTTCGACCTACAAAAGTAGAGCTGAGTACTTGCAACAGAGACCATACGGCCGACAGGCCTAAAATATTTCTATCTGGCCCTCTACAGAAAAAGTTTGCTGACCCCTGACTTAGACAAACTGGACAAATTATTTGAAAATCACAGCTTAACAAACCCAACATACAGGGGCACCTGGGTGGTTCAGTCGTTAAGCGTCTGCCTTTGGCTCAGGTCATGATCCCAGGGTCCTGGGATCGAGCCCCACATAGGGCTCCCTGCCCAGCGAGAAGCCTGCTTTTCCCTCTCCCACTCCCCCTGCTTGTGTTCCCTTTCTCACTGTGTCTCTCTCTGTCAAATAAATAAATAAAATCTTTAAAAAAAAACCCCAACATACAAAGAAATAGAAAATCTGAATGGTACTATATTATTTCAATAAGCCAAATTCATAATTAAAAACCTACCCACAAAGAAAACTCCACACCATAATGACTTCACTGGAGAATTCTTCCAAATATTTAAGAAGGAAATAATACTAATCTTACCCAAACTCTTTCAGAGAATACTTCCCAACTTGTTAAATAAAGCCAGCCTAACTGTGATGCCAAAACATAAACAGGAATACAAGAAAAATTATAGGCCAATATGTCTCATGAACAGAGTAGTAAAAATCCTCAACAAAACATTAATAAAAGACTGGCTTGATGATAATGATGAGGAGGAGGATGACAGGAGTTGGTGAAGATTGACCACAGATAAAACAAAGATTGGCCACCAGTTGATAATATTTGCAGGTGAATGATAAGTACAAGGGATTCACAAACATCTACTTTGAGTATGTTCAAAATTGAAATTTTCCATAATAAAATGTATAAAAACTATATTTCTTGGTAAGGTTTTATCGGTATTTTTTATTTTTTTATTTATTTTTTTTTAAAGATTTTATTTATTTATTCATGAGAGACAGAGAGAGACAGAGAGAGAGAGGCAGAGGGAGAAGCAGGCTCCCAAGGAGCAGGGAGCCCGATGCGGGACTTGATCCCAGGACCCTGGGATCATGCCCTGAGCCGAAGGCAGACGCTTAACCATCTGAGCCACCCAGGCGCCCCTCGGTACTTTTTTTAAAGTTACAGAAGATACAGTGTGTGTGGTAAAGAAAAATACATGAAAATAATAAAATCACTCACACACATTTATACATATATATCTATACACACAGGGGTTTTATGTATCTGGAAGGATCGTCTCCAAACTACATAATACTAGTTATACCAGGGAAAAGGGCAGAAGTTACATTACAGAGATATTTCCCTTTCTTTCTAGTTTTTACTTTGCAATATTATTTACATTCTTTGCACCATACATACACTACCCTTGCAAAGAGGGGATAAAAAGACATAAAATGGGGGTGCCTGGGCGGCTCAGTCGGTTAGGTGTCTGGCTTCAGCTCAGGTGGTGATCCCAGCATCCTGGGATCTAGCCCCACAGTGGGCTCCCTGCTCAGTGGGGAGTCTGCTTCTCCCTCTCCTTCTGCCCCTCCCCCCCACTCATGTTCTCTCTCATATGGATGGATAAAAATCTTTTAAAAAACTGTTTAAAAAAAGACATAAAATGGAAGAGCAGAGAAGGAACTGGCCTTGAGTTGGGGAATGATCCCACAAACTATGAGATGACAGCAAAGGAGCCATGGAAAACCAAGAAACCACCCATCCTCCAAGCCTCTGCCAGAAATTTTTAACTAAAAATAGCCTCTTTGAAACGACTATCGATGATACCATACTGAGCTGAAAATCACTGGCCTTTAGGAAAATTCAACAATAAATTTCTTAAGATAAAGTCCCAGAAATCTTGACTTGCTGAAGAGCTGGACAGATGAACTGATTTCTCTTGATGGAGAAGGCAAACCATCTAACATATCCTTTTTGCCAGTTTCACTGTGGCTGCCAGGAAGCTTAAAGGTAAAACATTTAGCTCAGTTTATATGAAGTAAGGCCAGATAATCTATGTATCTTAACAGCAACTTCATCTGCATCTTGATCTTCTATTTTGTCTAAATTTCTCTAATTCTTATTTTCAAAGTATCGTCCTTTCTCATTTTACTGTGGGAAAACCAAGTGGGAAACAAACAACTTAACTGGGACTTTGTTACTGATAACATAAAAGCAATTGGGGGTGCAGTGGGGTACAGAAGAGTCTTCAGAGACCAAGCTGGGTTAACCACTCTTCAATGGCTGAATGTAACACGTGTTGTTTGTTAATTCATTGATAACTTGTGTTTATCAACTGACCAGCAATTCCATTTCTAGAACTTTGTTCTAAGGTAATAATCATGGATGTGTGCAGAAATTTAACTGAAAGAACTTTCATCACAGCTTTGTCTTGAACACTATAATTTTGAAAATAACCAAAATGCCCAATCACTGAGGACTGAGAAAGTAATTTATGGAACCTCCAAGGGATGGAAAGGCAGATGACCATTTAAAATAACACTAGGCACAATTAAGAGGCTCAAAAGATCCAGCAACCAAATGTAAAGTGTGGACCATGTATGGATCTTAATTTGAACAGACAAAAAAATCTTTGAGATAATCATGAAAGTTTGAGCCCTGACTAGATATTTAATGATATTAAAAATTTTAACCAATGATGATCTGAAGTTATTATTGTTATTTTACCTTGAATAACAGTATTGACCTTTAAGACCTTATCTTTTACAGGTACATGATGAAGACTTTATTATGAAATGATACATCTGGGATTTGTTTCAAAATAATAAGGACTACATATGTAAAGATTCATTTAGCTATACACTTAATATTTGTGCATTTTAGGGGGGCCTGGGTGGCTCAGTTGATTAAGCATCTGCCTTCGGCTCAGGTCATGATCCCAGGGTCCTGGGATGGAGTCCCACATTGGGTTCCCTGATCAGCGGGGAGTCTGCTTCTCCCTCTGCCTGCACCACCCCCTGCTCATGCTCTCTTTCTGTCAAATAAATTAATAAAATCTTTAAAAAAATACTTGTGCATTTTATGTTATCAGTAACAAAGAAAAAACAATCTGGGAGGGAGAAATAAATGGGTGGTCTAGACTAGGGGTTTGGCAAACTTTCTCTGTAAAGAGACAGATGATAGTAAATATTTCAGATTTGTGAAGCCTACGGTCCCTGTTGCAACTACTCAGCGATCGAAAGCAGAGCTACAGACAATACATAAGCCAATTCTGTTTATCGGCTGTGTCCCAATAAAACCTCATTTATGGAACACCCGGGTGGCTCAGTCGGTTAAACCTCTGACTCCTGATTTCAGCGCAGGTCATGATCTCAGGGAGGTGAGATTGAGCCCTGCATCGGGCTCCACACCGAGCATGAAGCCTGCCTGAGATTCTCTCTCTCCCTCTCCCTCTGCCCCCCATCCATTGCCCTTTCTCTCTCTAAAAAAGTTTTTTAAAATACTACTGTTTAAAAACCTCATTTATGAGCACTATAATTTGAATTTTATATCCTTTTCATATGTCGCAAAATATTCTTCTTCTGATTTTTTTCCAAACATTAAAAAATGTGAAAACCATTCTTAGCTTACAGCTGTATAAAAACAGCAGCGGGCCAGATTTGGCCCACTGCCTATAGTTTTCCATCCCCTGGTCTAGGTGAAACAACAGTGGCCATCAGGTGACGACTGATGAGACTGGGTGAGGGGCATGATGGGAGTTTATATTATATAATTCCCTCTATTTTGCTGAATGTTTGAAAATTTCCATGGACATAAGCTTAGTAGTATTATGGAAATAAAGTCAATAGCATGGAAATATAGCTGCAAAATGAAGAGGCACACCACAAGATCACACTCCCAATTGTTTAATAACAACAAACATCTGACCCCTAAGATACCACAACGGTTTGTGGCCCTCCAAAGCTCAACGCTACCTGACAAAATCTTATTCCTTGGCATTTAATTTCTTTTATTCTATTTTCTCGGGTATTACATGAGTAGAACTGACCTTGAGTTCATGGATGATCCATACAAGGTCAGTGCTACAAAACCATGGTGAATAGATAATAATCAGGTATTAACTCACTTAATTATCATCCCAAGCCTCAAAGGATAGACCCTGCTATTATCCTCATTTCACAGTGAGGAAACTGAGGCCTAAAGAGGTTTAGTCACTTATCCATGATCACACAGCCAGTGACTAGAGGGTCAGCTGGTGAGAAAACAAAAAGCAGAGAACTCCTCCCTAGCTGTCATGGCACCAAAGTTTTCAGAGATGCAACTCTCTATTCCTGAATGCCCTAAAAAATTAATTCTCGCCCTAAATTACAGAGGACATTGTCTGATTTTTAACTTGAGAATAACAAAACTCTAAATTTACATTGTGCTTTACAGTTCAAAGTTAACTAAAAACCTTAATATTCAAAGCCACAACGAGGAAAAGAGAAGCCAAGAATCAAAGAAATACTTGCAAAACACATACCACTGATAAAGGAGTAGTTATCAGAATATATAAAAACAGGTCCTACAAATCAATAAGGAAAAGGCAGACATCCAATAGAAAACTGACCAAAAGATCTGAACAGGTGCCTCACAAAAGAGGATCTAAGAGAAAGATATGAAAACGTAGTCATCAGGGAAATACAAAGTAAAGCCTCAATGTCTGTCGCCTCCATTGGAATGCTGACACCACAAGGGCAGGGATTTTTGTTTATTCATGTTTGTATTATCAATCTCAAAGAGCCGCCCATCATGGACCTCACAGAATCCCAACATTGACCCTATGTATTCCCATTCCTGTCCCCATGGACCCTCATCACTCACTCTAAAGACCACCCCAATGCTCACCCCAGATCCCCCATCATTCACCCAACGAACTCTCCATCACTCACCCCTGACCCCATTCACTCACCCTACAAACCCCTTTCACTCACTCCCTTGAAACCCTATCATTCACCCTACAGACACCACTGCTCACTGCATACTCCATCACTCACCCCAGGCCCCTTTCACTCACTTCCTAGAAACCCCATCATTCACCCTACAGACACCATTGCTCACTGCACAGACTTCCCCCCGGGTCACTCACTTCCAGAAATTCCTCATCGCATGTCCCACACACAGTCCTACAGACTCCCTTCCCTATCACTGCTCTCCACATCATTCAGCCCGAAGGACCCCCTCATTGGTCCTTCCACATGTCCCCATCACTGACCACACAGACCCGCATCCCTCAACCGGGCCCCTCACCCTGGCTCTGCTCTCAGGACCCCAAAGCTCCTTCTCAAGACGAGCTTGGCTCCCTGCTTGCACAAACGGGCTCAACATCGCCCGAAATTCCCTTTCCCCTCCAGCCCTCCTTGGTGGGTCTGGAAGACGCATTAGCTTATCTTTCGCAGGCTCAGCAACAGCCTCCAAGCCCGAGCTCTACCAGTAACAAAAATGGCGTCATTCGGTCTGCGCCAGGAACTCTGTCGCCGGCCAGGAAAATGGCCAGGGCCTCACACTGCTTCTTGAGGCTCCCATTCCAGCCTGAAGAGATATGTGTTTTAGGGTCCGGGAAGTCCCCGTGATATTTCCGAGGCCGGGTATTCGGATTTGGTGCTTCGAAAGCAGTGTGAGGCTCGGATGTGTGGCGACCGTTCCGGGAGGGTGAATGGGCGTTCCCGGTCCTCAGCAGAGGCCCGGCCTGAGCAAAGGCGTGGCGACGTGCGGGTAGGGGTGTTCGGTGGGAACCGGGACCCAGGGAGGGGGGCGGGGAAGGGGTGGTAAGGCCGGAAGGTAGAAGCACCGCCTGGCCGACTGCTCTGCAGAAGCCTCATTTCTAAAACCTCTGGTGAAAGCGAAGAGTCTTCGGACATCACGTACCCTCTCATCCACACTCCCGGCCCGCCTCTCGCAGCCTGGCGTCATAGCCCTCCCGCCTTCCTATTGTTCCTTCAATGGGGCCGAGCCCCCTCCCCGTCTGTCACTCAAGGCTCGGCCTCGCCGCGCTCCTGCTCTTCTATTGGCTCCTTGGAACACAGAAGGCCCGCCCTCTCTTGTCACTCACAGGCCAGACTCTCTGCCCGCGTCTCTTAAAGTGGGCAGGTGTGGCCTTTGGCAGCCCATATCAAAGCTGAAAGAAGTAGGAGGCAGAGGTTTAAGGTAGAGCCTAAGGGGCATTGATTTTAGAAAAACTAACAAAAGACTAGCTTTGAGGTCAGCCCGGAATGGGATTGAATAGTTAACAAAGGCTCGGATTCTAGATCTACAAAATAGAGTACTGATGGCGAAATAGTCAAGACCTCTACCAAGGTTCATGGATTGAGAAAACTAACAAGTTAAGAGTTAAGAGTCTGCCTTCGGCTCAGGTCATGATCTCAGGGTCATGGGATCGGGTCCCACACGGGGCTCTCTGCCCAGCGGGGAGTCAGCTTCTCCCTCTCACTCTCCCTCTCTGCTCTCCCCCCCCAATAAATAAACACATAAAATCTTAAAAAAAAAATCTTACTTCTAGGTCAAAGGACACTGAAGGTAAAATAATGACTAATTAGGAAGTGTAGCCTCTTCAGGTCTCTATGACCTTCTGCTTCCTCCGTCACACCTTCTTTGACTCTGACCCTCCTCTTTCCTTCTTATAAGGACCCTTGTGATTACATTGGACTCATCTGGATAATCCATAATAATCTTCCCATCTTGAGATTTTAATTTAATCATATCTGCAAAGTCCGTTTTTCCATGTAAGATAACAAATTAGAGGGTCAATGGTGGTGGAAGACTTGATTGAGACACAATGTATTAATAGGGAAAGACTACCGATAGTAGATCAGGTTTGAATTCAAACCAGATGGGTATCAATAAGGGGCCCAGGCTTTTATGTCAGAATTTTTTCAAAGGCCTGGGTTCAAGGTCAGAACAAAGGAAACTGATGGAAATCTCAGCAGACACCTTGGACCCTAGGTAATGGTCATAGGAGCATTGATGGTGGAAAAGTTAACAGAAGCCCAGGTTTAAGATCTAGAACACAGACACATTGATGGCAGAATACTTAACAGAGCCCTGGGTTTAAGGTTAAAGCTAAAGGTCATTGATGAATAAAGATTTAATAGACAGCCAGAGCCAAGGTCAGAGAAGAGGGACATTGGTGGTAAAATCTATAACAGCAATCTGGATTTAATATATAGATGACTGGGGAAAACTAATGTTAATAGCCTTGGATTTCATTCACAGATCGGGTTAGGCATTGATAGAAGTAAAGACTCGGGTTTGCTTTTCATGACAGAGTAAATTGATGATAGAATAACTTGTTGACAGAGACCTACATTAAATGCCCCAACAAGTGGAGCATTAGTGGCAGAAGCATTAATAGAAGGCTGTGTAGAGAGAAAACTGAGCAGAGAACCAGGTGCAAGGGCAGACCTGAGTGTCTATGAGAGTGGAAGAATTAACAGAGGACCAGGACCAAAGTTCATATCTGAGGGATAGAGATTCATTATTATTTCATGTTCAGGCTCAGGGAGAAAGTGTTGGTCCCTGGGAGATGTGTTCTCCATGATTCTATGCTCCAGTTCCCTTCTGCAGTAAATGTTTCCAAAGCCCTGATTGCAAATGTCCCTACCTTCTGGACTCCCGGGGTGTGATGTGTTAAAGGAGATAGGATTCACCTGAGCTCTTAGTTGTTAGATCGTACAGTCTAAAGACTCAGAAATTGAGGAGTTTCACTATTTTATTTAATTTAGGTTTTAAAAAAAGATAAAGTTTGTCCTGTACACCAGAGTGGCCAATATATAGTTCTCATCTCTAGAGTAATTGCTACAATGGTAGGAAATAAAATGTTACAGAAAATTGTTTTTCTAACTAACAAACATGAATTAAAGTTGTCCTCTAAATAAAGTCTAGTTAATTATGCAAAATATACTTTAAGGTTTTTTTTTTTTCAAAAACAAGAAGTTTGTAGGTATAAGTAAAGAAAAAAAAAAAAACATCATTACGAAAACCTACAGCGTGGGGAGAGGCAGGGCTGACTAGATGGGCCCTTTCCAGTTCAGGAGTCTTGGCCCGAAGCAGGAAGATGATGCTGAGAGTTCCTCATCATCCCCCGGCGGCCTCCCTCGTGGTTGATGCCACATCTTCAGAGGTGGTTTGCAGTGAATTGTTTCATTCAAGGCTGGGAGGGGACTGATGCCCTGGTGACCTCAACAGGGTGTCAGCACTATCAGGGTCCCCCAGGATGTGACAGCAACAGGTGATTAAGGACAATGTCACTGACCCTGTTGTGGTTGTATTAGGCTTTGGACATCAGCTCGAGATGCTGCAGCCAACACCTTTAGTCAGGAGGTAAAGAGGAGAGAAGAACAAAAGAGAGAGAGAGTGTGGGAGAAGGGGAGAGGCCTGTGAGAGACCATAAGAGAAAGAGAATGGAGAGAAGAAGATGAAGAGAAAGAGATAAGCAGATAAAGGCCACAGAGAGGCCTGTGAGAGATATTTAACCGCCCCCGCCTCCAAGATAAATTCACATGTCTAGTGAAACCTGTGAAAAACAACCCCAAGGAAAAAGGTCAGGAGCTGAGAATTGATGCCTTCCTCCCACTGAAGCGGCCTCAGAAGGGACTTGGGAGGAACTAAAGGAAGCAGAGAAACGGCCTCTGTCCAGGAGTGGCCAGGGTATCCTCAGGGCAGGAGTGAAGAACCTGTATCTGACACCCTTGGTATAGAGCTGCAGGAAGTGTCCCCTCTCTGTGCTGCCTATGCCCCAGCAGGTTGTTTTGTCCAACCCTCTGCCTCCAGGTACCAGGACATACCAGCTGCACCAGTGGATCCAAAGACCTCAGGGGAGGAGCCTGTCTCCCAGGTTTCTCGGCAGATGGCCTAAGTTACTTTGCTTTGCGGCTCTGTAGGTTGAAAGGAATTAGGGGTCAGGGGCCAGTGGAGCCATGGAACCTCTGGACCAAAGGGGGAAAAACACTGGATAAATCACTCGGGATTTGATGAGCAGCGGCATCTGGATTTTTGCAGCAGTGTGGATCATCAGGTCCACTCCCATTCCTCCAGTTTCTGGACCAGTCAAGTTTCCCAGAAACACATTTCACAATGAAGAATCTGATTCCACAGCATGACTTTGTTCTAGCTTGATCAACCTAAAAGCACCGGAAACAAACCTACAGTCCAACAATGTCAAGTTTGTTGACCCTTTTCAATGAGGGAAACTGCATATCAGAAGAACCGTGGGACATCTCACCAAGTAAAAGAAAAGGTACAGTTTTCACAGGATTTGAGGAAAGGATAAAATTGATATGAAATTTAAATGAGCCCTGCTACATCTATCAACATCGTGTTATCTGCATAAGGACATTTATTGTGAGGATCACATCTGTGTATGTACTGATTTCTAGTGCAGAATTTCTCAACCTCAACACCATTGACATTTTGGGCTACGTAATTCTTTGTCAGAAGCCTATCTTGTGTATTATAGGATGTTTAGCATCATCCCTGGGCTCTACCCACTAGACGCCAGTAGCCCCCTCATCCCAGTTGTGACAAAATTTTGCAGACATTGCCAAATGTCCTTTGGGGAGCAGAATCATCCCTGGTTGAGAACCACTGTTCTAATGGTTTACTGATAGTGAGTATGATAGTGAAAACTCAGTAAAAGGTTTTATGGGATGGCTTCTGTTTTCACTTTTCTATACATATTTTAGGGTGAAGTATTAAATGAAGAACACATTAAAATAACAAATCTGTGGTTAAAAGCAAGTTCGTTGTAAAAAAAAAAAAAGACAATGTCAGAGATGACATGACCATCTTTGTAGAAAATCCAATAGATTTATTAAAAAGCTACTAGATTTGGGGCACCTGGCTGGCTTGGTCGGTAGTGCATGCGACTCTTCCTCTTGGAGTTTAAGTTCAAGCCCCATATTGGGTGGAGAGATTACTTAAAAAATAAAATCTTGAGGGGTTCCTAGGTGGCTCAGTGAAGCGTCTGACTCTTGATTTCAGTTCAGGTCATGATCTCAGGGCTGTGAGAGAGAGCCAGGAGCCCTGCATTGGGCTCTGCACTCAGCAGGGAGTCCGCTGAAGATTCTCTCCCTCTCCCTCCACCCCTCCCTCCTCCCGCTCACACCCTCTCTCTCACTCTCAAATAAATAAATAAATCTTTTAAAAAATAAAATAAAATCTTTAAAAAAAACTACTGGCTCTAATAAGTGAGTTTAGCAAGTTTGCAGGATACAAGATCCATATACAAAAACCAACTGTATGCCTATATACCAGCAATGAACAATCAGAAATTGAATTTAAAAACCAATATCATTTACAACATTATAAAAATCATGAAACACTTAGGGATACATTTAACAAAGCATGTGAAAGATCTATACACTGAAAGTTACAAAATATTGCTGAGAGAAACTAAGTAAGATCTAAATAAATGGAGAGATATGCTTCATTCGTGGATTGGAAAAGTCAATATTGTTAAAATGGCAATTCTCCCCAAATTTATCTATAAATCTAATGTTATCTAAATAAGAACCTCAGCAAGATTTTTGGTAGAAACTGACAAGCTGATTCTACAATTCATAAAGAACAACAGACACATGAAAAAATGCTCAATCTCACTTGTCATCAGGAAAATACAAATCAAAACCACAATGAGATACTACCTTACACCTGTCAGAATGGCTAAAATTAACAAGACAGGAAACAACAAATGTCAAGGATGTGGAGAAAGAGAAACACTCTTACACTGTTGGTGGGAATGCAAGTTGGTACAGCCACTCTGGAAAACTGTGTGGAGGTTCCTCAAGACGTTAAAAATAGAGCTACCTGGGCACCTGGGTGGCTCAGTCAGTTAAGCATTTGCTTTCCGCTCAGGTCATGATCTCAGGATCTTGGGATCGAGCCCTGAATCAGGCTCCCTGCTCAGCAGGGAGTCTGATTCTCCCTCTCCCTCTGCCCCTCCCCATGCTCTCTCTCTCTCTCTCAAATAAATAAATAAAATGTTTTAAAAACAAACAAATAAAAAAAACAAGGTGTGCCTGTAGAGGGCTGGCCCTGTGGCTTTCCTCAGCTTACTTTAACTTGCCTGTCACAAAATTTTTCCACAGGCACTCGCCTTCATTTGGTAAATAACTTGCCCAGCCTCACCAGATCCCCTAGCTTTATAATACATCTTTTGTATAAATATATATCGATAAATACACTTGCTGACTCATGTATGCATTTCACGTAAGGTCTCTTTTGAAAGCACAGATTTAAATTTTCTAGACTATAAAATATGGATGTTTCTTTACTTTCTGAATTAGGTACTTTAGGGCGCCTGGGTGGCTCAGTTGGTTAAGCGACTGCCTTCGACTCAGGTCATGATCCTGGGGTCCTGGGATCGAGTCCCACATCGGGATCCCCCTGCTCAGCTGCAAGTCTGCTTCTCCCTCTCCCTCTGTGATCTCTCTCACTTTCACTGTCTCTCAAATAAATAAATAAAATCTTTAAAAAAAAAAATAGAGCTACCCTACAACCCAGCAATTGCACTATTAGGTTATTTACCCCAAAATCCAGATGTAGTGAAATGAAGGGGCACCTGCACCCCAGTGTTCATAGCAGCAATGTCCACAATAGCCAGACTGTGGAAGGAGCCGAGATGTCTTTCAATAGATGAATGGATAAAGATGTGGTATATATATACAATGGAATATTACTCAGCCATCAGAAAGGATGAATACTGGGGCACCTGGGTGGCTCAGTCGTTAAGCATCTGCCTTCAGCTCGGGTCATAGTCTCAGGGTCCTGGGATCGAGCCCCGCATCGGGCTCCCTGCTCAGTGGGAAGCCTGCTTCTCCCTCTCCCACTCCCCCTGCTTGTGTTCCCTCTCTCGCTGTCTCTCTGTCAAAAAATAAATAAAATCTTTTTAAAAAAAGGATGAATACTTACCATTTACATCAACATGGATGGAATTGGAGGGTACTATGCTAAGTGAGATAAGTCAATCAGAGAAAGACAATTATCATTTGGTTTCATTCATATGTGGAATATAAGAAACAGTGCAGAGGACAATAAGGGAAGGAAGGGAAAACTGAATGGGAAGAAATCAGAGACGGAGACAAACCATGAGAGACTCTTAACTCTAGGAAACAAACTGAGGGTTGCTGGGGGGGAGGTGGGTGGGGGGAATGGGGTAACTGGGTGATGGGCATTAGGGAGGGCACGTGATGGGATGAGCACTGGGTGTTATGTGCAACTGATGAATCATTGAACATTACATCTGAAACTAATGATGTACTAGGTGTTAGCTAATTGAATTTAAATTTAAATAAACAAACAAACAAACAAATAAAATTCATATAGAAATGCGAAGTATCGGGGCACCTGGGTGGCTCAGTCATTAAGCGTCTGCCTTCGGCTCAGGTCATGATCCCAGCGTCCTGGGATGGAGTCCCGCATCGCATCGGGCTCCCTGCTCCTCAGGGAGCCTGCTTCTCCCTCTCCCACTCCCCCTGCTTATATCCCTCTCTCGCTGTGTCTCTCTCTGTCAAATAAATAAATAAAATCTTTAAAAAATAAAAATAAATGCAAAGTATCCAGAATAGGCAAAACAACTCTTAAAAAAGAAAAACAAAGTTGGAGGGCTTAACACTGACTCAAGAATTATTATAAAGCTACAGTAATTGACACTGTGTGATATTGGTGTAAAGATCAAATAGCAGATAAATGGAGCTAAGTAGATACTCTAGACATAAACCCACACATATATGTGGGTTATAACTAATTTTTTTAAGATGCAAAGACCATGCGGTAAGGAAAGGATGGCTTTTTCAACAAACGATGCTGGAACAATTAGATATAGAAATGCAAAAGAAGGGCGCCTGGGTGGCTCAGTTGGTTAAGCGACTGCCTTCGGCTCAGGTCATGATCCTGGAGTCGTAGGATCGGGTCCCGCATCGGGCTCCCTGCTCAGCAGGGCGTCTGCTTCTCCCTCTGACCCTCTTCCCTCTCGTGCTCTCTATCTCTCATTCTCTCTCTCTCAAATAAATAAATAAAATCTTTAAAAAAAAAAAAAGAAATGCAAAAGAACATACTTGGACCCATACCTTGCACCATATTCACAAATTAACTCCAAATGGATCATAGACCTACATTTAAAACCTGAAAGTATAAAACTTCTGGAAGAAACCACAGGGGAAGATTTGTGACATTAAGTTAGGCAAAGATTTCTTAGATTTGACAACAAAAGCACAATTTACAAAAGAATAAATTGATAAATTAGATTTCATCAAAACTAAAAAATCCATTCTTTAACGGACACAGTTGAGATAATGGAAAAACAAGCCACAGACTGGGAAAAGTCTTTGCAAAAACATGTATCTGAATGTAAAAAGACTCACAAAACTCTACAATAAGAAAATAGCCCGGGTCCCCTGGGTGGCTTAGATGGTTGGGTGTTTGCCTTTGGCTCAGGTAGTGATCTCAGGGTCCTGGGATCAAGCCCCACATCGAGCCCCACATTGAGCTCCCAGCTCAGCAGGAAGCCTGCTTCTCCCTCTCCCACTCCCCCTGCTTGTGTTCCCTCTCTCGCTGTGTCTCTCTCTGTCAAATAAATAAATAAAATCTTAAAAAAATTAATTAAATAAAATAAAATCTAACCATGCACCTACCATATGATCCAGCTTTTACACTCTTAGGTTTTGACCCAGGAGAAAAGAAAATATATGTCCATACAAAGACTTGTACAATGTTTGCATGGCAAGTGCATTTGTAATAGTCAAAAACTGAAAACAACCCAAATGCCCATCAAGAGATGAATGAATAAACAAATTAGAGTGTATCCATACAACACAACATGGATGAATCTCAAAATAATACTGAGTGAAGGAAGCTATTCAAATAAGGGTACATGGTGCATGTTTCTATTTATATAAAACTTTATAAAATGCAAACTAATTTTTAGTGACAGCATCAGTGGGGATGAGAGAGTGATGAATATGTTTACTACCTTGATTATGGTGAATATATATATGTAATATATAAACTTATCAAATGGTATATTTCTAA